GGTGCTTGCATGTGGGACTTGTCATCTGGGATCTGTCTTGTTTCCCTCTGTTCTATTTGTTTCATTTGGCTGTTCCCTTCCTCTCTTCTTTGCCTCTTTGCCTTTTGGCTGTGTGCAAGTGGGTCGATATGACACACGGGGGTGGGGGCAGCCGCCGCTCAGCCTACATCCACGTGGGCGGCCTTGTACGCAAGAGGTTCTGAACAGGGGGAGTTGTAAGGAAGAAGATCAAAAACGAATTTAAGATTTTTTTTGTTTTTTTGGTTTTTTCGCTTAGGCGCTCTGATATCATGTGACAATATATATATCGTCATATATATATATATGAGAGAGAGAGAGAGAGAGAGAGAGAGAGAGAGAGAGAGAGAGAGAGAGAGAGAGAGAGAGAGATTGCGGACTCGTGTTTGAGTCGATGGAAGAAGGGGGGCTACTCAAGCTAGGTGATTATATGGACTTATTCAGTAATAGTAATTACGGATGATCTTTTATTTATCATTGAGTAATATGACGCTCTATCTTTTACCCATCGTCGTATAGGAGACAGATTAGCAATTTAGGACAAATCTTCTCAACGTTATTGCGGCCCACCTGAAGAGATTTGCGTTTACATAACTACGAAACATAGATGATGATGATGATGTGATGATGATGATGATGATGATGATGATGATGATGATGATCAGCAGGAGGAGCAGCAGGAGGGGAGGGAGAGGAGCAGGAAGAGGAGGAGAGGAGAGAAGGGGCGGGAGGCGGAGGACGGGAGGAGGAGGAGGAGGAGTAGGAGGAGTAGGAGTAGACCAAGAAAATTGCCGAACTGGGGAAAATGCAATACGACGGTCATAGCCAGTCCATATGGACGACTTGAAAATGTCGGCAGCCTCTTAAAAACTTCCTAATTTGTATTTAACCTTCAAAACGGACAATTTTGAAGCCTTTCAAAAACTTACTAATTTGTATCTAAACTTCAAAACGGACAATTTTGAAGCCTTTCAAAAAACGGACAATTTTGAAGCCTTCATGTCGGAAGCCTTTCAAAAACTCCTCCTACTCCTCCTCATTCCGTCCTCCGCTTACTCAGTTGGGCAATTTTCTTGGGGTGGCAGCGAGATTGTTTTGCCGAACTGGGCTTGTATCTAACAATTTTGAAGCCTTCTTGAAGAGTTAATTTGTAGAAAAAAATTGCGCGGTTCTCTAATGACGGAGTTCTCATTACTTTCCAAAACAATCTCGCTGCCACCCCAATCTGGCAGCCCCCTCAGAAAAAAAAAAAGACTTGCTGGAAATATTGACGTTTGCCTAATGAAGCCATTTTTTTTGACATTTCTTCTTCTCTTGGAAATATGTTCTGAACATTTCCGAACAACATTTCCAAGAAGAAACTAGACGGTGAAAAAGGTGAGGAGGAGGAGGAGGAACGAATCAGGCGAAGAGCAACTCCCCCCCGGGCCCAATCCGCGCCCCGCCGACGAAAAATAAAAGAGAGGAAAAGAAAGGTGAAAAAAAAGAAGGGATCAAAATAGAATGGGACAAAGAAACGAAATTCATGTGGAAGAAAAAATAGCGAAAGAGAGAGAGAGAAAAAATCATCATCATTATCAGCATCCCGTCCTTTCTTATCATCATCATCGTCAACATCATCATCATCATCGTCATTCCACCTACCTTACTCCTCCCTCTCTTCCTCCCCCTCCTCTTCCGCCTCCTCCTCTTCCTCCTCCTCCTCCTCCTCCTCTATGCCATCTTCCCTTGCCGTCACCCATCTCCTCCTCCTCCTGAATGTGGTCATCATCTAGATGATCACCTCTTTTAGGGCCATTGATACTAACAGAAAAAAACACCAGAAATTCATCGGCCTCCAGCAATGGCGGCTACGACTCTCTTCACCGAACTGCATTGTAATGCCCTCCCTTTCTCCTCCTCCTCCTCCTCCTCCTCATCATCATCATCATCATCATCATCATCATCATCATCATCATCATGAGTATTGTCATCGCACCTACCTCACTCTCATCGTTGTTCCCTCTCTTGTGAGGACCGGAAGTAGGTAGAAGTAGTAGCGGAGGACAAGAGAGAATTGATCTTTTGATGTAAGGTTCGATGACAATACTCATGAGTCATGAGGTCAATGTGCATTTTTTTTTCCAGATTTTTCACAAAACAATGCTCTCAGGGAGTTTGATTTGACGGGACAGCCCTCCTCGCATGTTCGGGTACGAGCGTCGAGATTCCTGCACTATTCTCTCCCTCCCTCTCTCTCTCTCTCTATAGCGCGCTCGCTAAGCGAGAGCGAGAGAGAGAGAGAGAGAGAGAGAGAGAGAGAAAGAGAGAGAGAGAGAGAGAGAGAGAGAGAGAGAGAGAGAGAGAGAGAGAGAGAGAGAGAGAGAGACACGATAACGGAAAAAAGGAACGGAAACGAGAACACCAGAAGGGCCGTCGACTGTTCATCGCCATGTGGTACTCAGCGCGAGGCGTGCCGAGAGAGAGAGAGAGAGAAAGAGAGAGAGAGAGAGAGAGAGAGAGAGAGAGAGAGAGAGAGAGAGACAGAGAGAGAGAGAGAGAGAGAGAGAGAGAGAGAGAGAGAGAGAGAACGGATGGCAACGATGTGGACCGGGTGGGCTCTGGGGAATGGGCCCCATCGACGAGCGCTCGCAAAGGCGAAAACCATAATACTCTCGCTTTGTCTATCTGCATGCGGACGTCATCGTCATTATCATCATCCTCCCCCCCTTCTTGTCAGATTATAATCTTCTCTCCACTTGTCCTCCTCCCTCCTCCTTCCTCCTACCTCCGCCTCCTCCTCCTCCTCATCAACATCTTCCTCATCATGATTATCGTCAGTAATCTGTAGCAGGTAGTCTTCAGTGTACCTTCCTCATCGTTATCCATCCCCTCTCGCACTGCATCTCCTTCTTGTTGTCTGCCATAGCCATCGGTGCCATCACCATTGTTCTGCCTCCCCTCCCCCACTTCATCTCCTCCCCCTCTTCCTCAATATCGTCCTCATCATCGGGATTTCCATCGCCGCCATTACCGTCTCCATCGTTGCCATCGCCATCGCCATCGCCATCGCCATCGCCATCGCCATCGCCGCCTTCTCCCTCACCCGTCGTCTCCCTCATCATCGGCATTTCCATCGCCGCCCTCATCATCGGGATTTCCATCGCCGCCCTCATCATCGGGATTTCCATCGCCGCCATCTCCCTCCCCTATCGTCTCCATTGTCATCCTTGCGGTCTCCATCGCCCTCCCCTATCGTTGCCATCACCATCCTCGTCATCGTAGTCATCGCCATCGCCATCGTCATCGCCATCGGCCTCCCATCGCCGCCATCGCTGTCATCCCCATTGACGCCATCTTTCTCCTGAAGCATTATGACCATTTCCTCTTGCTCTGGTTCATGTCTTCTCCTCGTGAATGTTGTCATGATTTTTTTTTTTTTTTTTTTYTTTGGTGGGATTGTTATGATGATTTACAGCCGTCGGCAAAAGAAGGAAAAAAGGGAAACCGACGATGACCCGAATAGGCGATAGGCCCAGAAGGGGGGGACTGACAGGTACAGTCATTACGTAAGCAGAAAGAAACGAAAGGAAAATCAATTCCCTACCTCCTACCTCCTTGTTCTCCTCCTCCTCCTACCTCCTTGTCCTCCTCCTTAAAATACCCTCCCGTTCGTCCTCCACGTGCCATAATAATGAAATGACACGTGGAGGGCGAAAAGGAAGTTCACTGAAGGAGGTTGTTTTTATCATTACGATCCCCATCAGTCTTTTCCATCGTCCTCCATGCGCTCTCCACGTCCTCCACGTGTCATTCTTGCCGTCGATCTGGTGTTTCACAATCACGAGTGGAAATGTCAAAACACAAAAAGAGGACAAGAAGATTGAAGAAGAGTACGACGAGATCGAGTGACAAAAAACAGACAGAGGGAGAGGGAGAGAGAGAGAGAGAGAGAGAGAGAGAGAGAGAGAGAGAGAGAGAGAGAGAGAGAGAGAGAGAGAGAGAGAGAGAGAGA